GAAACGTGAAAACATATTTCTCACAATGGAAGAAACACAGGGCTGTACAAGCAAGGGGAACTCCTCCGAACTTATCCAAGGTTTGGTCACTGTATCAGATCATCTCATCATCAACAGTAATGTTACTGATGATATCTGACCCACAAGAAAAACCTACCTCTATCAGTCTCCATTCATAGTGATTAGAGCAACAGGTGTAACTTTTTAACTACTGTTATTTCTTATAGCTTAGGCATGTTACTGCCTTTACACATTGAACAAAAACTATTATAAATTACTTTATTTTTCTTTTATATCAGTCACGATATTGATGTTTTTCTATTTATATGTGTAAGTGGATTAATTATCTGTGAATCTCATTTCAAGAAAGACTTTTAGAAAATATCTTATAAAAAGGTTATGTTAGGTCTGATAAGGTTTAGAAAATATTGAATTTAGGGATCATGAAAAACTGCTTTTTCTCTAAATAGAAATCAAATGCTTAAGCACTTACCTAACAAATATTAATATCCTTGTGGATAAGGAAACAGGGAGGAGGCATAAAACTGCATATTAATTTAACACTAAGGGAGGACAGTTTTATGCTTATTTTAGGAAGTGACTTTGGATTTTGTGTAGAGAGCATGGTCTCTTGAGTCAAATTACCTGTATTCAAATCATGGATCTATCATTCTATATGTCATTTTGAGTGACTCGGTCTTTCTTTGCCTCATTTCTCTAGTGCATAAAATGACCATCATAAGAGCTACATCACAGGGTTCTTATGAGAACGAAATGATATAATGGGTTGGTGTCTACAACAGTGACTGGTACATCAGAAGCAGGAAATACAAGAAAGCTTCGCTAATTACAAGCATCAAATATTTCATTCTGCAAAACAAAAATGTCTGAACTTCTGCTAAAATCATTACCACCTGAGAAATATTTCCTAAAGAATCAATGATCCCTTGATATGTGGAGAATAATTTCATAGTTTTGTGAATGCTAATAATAGATTCTTTGGGGTAGTGAGGTTTATTGCCAACTGCCACACAACTGCTCTGTAATGTACAAATATATCTTAGATTCCAAAGTGCAAGAAAGGAACATATGAAACATAACCAAAATATATTCCCTCATCAAATAAAATGTAAAGTGGTACAGACACACTATTTTGTAAGATCAGTTAAGGCTTTATTCTTATCCAAATCAACAAATACCCTAAAGAGTCTCCCAAAATCTCAGCTCCATGTTACGCTGAGTTCATACAAAGGAAGAAACAACTGGGCTCCTATCTCATGGGATGATGAGACTGATCTGTATGAAACAACCAGAGTCACTAAGAAGAAGACTATAATTACAGGCTAAATTGCATGGCACAGATCCTAAGAGTTGCAGGAATTCAGAGGAGGATGATTAACGAGTGGTAGAGTGGTTAAGGAATGTTGCACCTAGGGGAAGGCAGGCAGAATATAGCAGTACAACCTTGGTCTTAACCAGTTAAGGTTAACCAGTTAACCTCTCGGTATTAATGTTTCCTCTTCAATAAAGTTTGAAAAGTCAATGTATGTAAAATGCCTAGCATGATCTAAAGCAGGAAAGGTTCGTGGTAGGGTCTTAGAAAATTGGTAGTATCTCCCGAAAGAAGTATGTTTCAGAAACTTCCTTGGTGGTCCAGTGGTTAAGAATTTGCCTGCCAATGCAGGGGCACAGGTTGGATCCCTGGTTCGGGAAGATCCCACTTGCCTCGGGGCAACTAAGCCTCTGCACCACAGCTACTGAGTTTCTGCTCTAGAGCCTAGGAGCCAAAACTGCTGAATCCTGTGAGCCCTAAAGCTCATGCTCTGCAACAAGAGGAGCCACTGCAATAAGAAACTGGCACACCACAACTAGAGAGTAGACCCTGCTCATGGAAACTAGAGAAAACTGGCACGCAACAATGAAGAGCCAGCAAAGCCAAAAATATATAAATAAATTAAAAAAAAATTTAAAGAGTATGTTTCAGATAGCTGGATAACCTGCATCATGTAAACAAGACACATATTCCTTTCAAGAGTTTAGATTAAAAAAGGAAAAACCCACAAGTAACAGCCCTACTATTATAAGGTACAATTATCTGTGGCAAACAGCAATCACATTTCCCACCCCTCTGCACAGCAAAGTAACTCCTTTAGCACAGGAGACTTGGTGCATGTTAAAATTCTTGACAGTTCCTTCTGACAGGCAGATTCTTTCTTTAAAAAAAGAAATGGCATAGAATACACATATCTGTTTTTCCTTCTAAATCTTTGCTTTTAGTTGCCCTTTCTCTTATTCAAATGTCATCACTTATTCCTTGGCCCTCCATCTTCTATAATAAAAAGTTATAATCACAATCACTTTTCTACTGTGATTTTCAGATAATTAAAATTAGAAGGAACTTAAGTATTTCTTCATTTCTGATCCATTCAATCAAGTATTCCATATCACGGCCTTTCTCCAATATACTGACAATAAGAGAAGGGAGGGTTCCTTCAAAGTGTCTCAGTACTTCTGAGGGAAATTACACTTAGCAGAATACTGATTCCATTTACAGGCACCATCTATCATTGAAGTCTTTTCTTAACATTATTGGTTAGAGCACTAATTACTTAGACTTTCAGACACCATATTGGTAAGTCTGACAAAGCCACATCTTCTAGGACTGTTCATCTTCTAGGACTGGTCAAAAACTGATACTGTCTTTCGCTCGAAAATAGAAGGCATATTAGTAATAAAAGTTTCCACTTTAGGCCAAATTAAACTATTCCAGTTACAAGACAGAGGATAATTTCACAGCAATTAAGAAGTGGGCCTTATGGAAAATTCCATTATTCATTCTTATCTATACAAAAGTAATTTTGCCCATGCAGTACAGGCTCTATATCCATTTCTTGCAGACAGAAATGAAGCAAGTCTTGGAATCATTACCTTGGCTTGTTCAGAAAGGAGAGAAGGATTGAAGATACAGTACTGGTAGTTTGAGGCGTTGCTATGTAAATTCATGAAAACAGGTCAGTTCTTTTGGTGTTTGTCATACAATGTGATAACATACATATAAATTATCTGTAAAACAAAACTGTTTTTCCTGCATTTTTTCTATGCTTTTTGGGTCTTTGATGCATATGAACAAATTAATTCTGACGAGGACTTCATTACTGCAGACAGAACAGTCCTTTGGTCTGCTGGTGGCTGATGGGGAGAACAGGGTGACTACCTATGTGCTGCTTATTTCTGCAAGCCCCAAGCTGCAGGCAAAAGAAACTGTATTCTGTGACTTTGTCTCTTTACTTAACATTCTAATAATCTATGTAACATGCAAGGCAGTGTTAGGTAAACAGTGGTAAACAAAACCAAGACCCTGTCCTGGAATTCACAGTCTTCTCAAACGCATTTTATGGTAGGTTTTGGCTTTAATTTTGCCTGTGTATCGCCTAAGTGTATTTCTGGATTTGAGAGCCCAAAACAGACTCAAGATATGATAAACCATAGCTGTTGGGCAGGACCTTAAAGGAAGCAATGTTGAGGTTGAAGGGGTTGCTGCCAGGAAAAACCTGAGCCACACAGAGATGCAACCAAACTTCAACCCAAGGAATATCCCTTTCATACTGTTGTAACAAATTACCACAGACTTAACAGTGTTAAGGTACACAAATTAATTATCTTACAGGTTTGGAGGTTAGATAAAAATCAAGATGCGGATAGGGTTGCATTCCTTTGGAGGCTCTATGGGAAAATCTTCTCCCTTACCTTTCCAGCTTCTAGACAGGTTGACTTTATTCTTTGGATCTTTGTTCCTTCCTCCATCTTCAAATCTTTTTTTCTCCCACTTTTTTCACTTTCTCATCTCTGCTCTGGTCATCAGTCTCACACTGACACTCCCACTTCTTCTTACTGTAATTATACAGGATCCATCCACAGGGATAGCCCAGCACAATCTTTCAATCTCCTGATGCTTAACTGAAACATGCCTATGGAGTTCTTTTGCCAGGTAAGAAAAGACACAGGTTATGAAGGTTAGGACACGGACATTTTAGGGGGCCATTATTCAGTGTACTATAATAGGAAAAAAAAGAAACCCCAAAATAAAAAACATTTGCCTCTTTTACATCTAACTTAACTAACTTAAAACTGGTAGACCAGTCGTTTGTTTTCTACTCAAGGCCATCTTGGTTATCCATTTTAACTGGCTTTTCTTCATAAAAATGGAGGTGGATGGCTCCTCTACCAATACTTCTCCGAGATCCCCTAGCTCTCTAACACCAGTTTTCCTCACAAGTCAACAAACTAAAACAACCAGACACTGACATCCCCTTTGAAAGAACTCTACAAGCTAATTACCAGGAACAGATACGTCACCAGAGCCAACCTTTCGTACCTTCTTTCAGAACTAAATTCGTTATTAGATTAATAAATTGTTGGAGCTGGAAATAACTTTTCTATTTCCTGCAGTGAGGGGCCACGGAGCGAGATTCAGCAAATTGATTCTGACTTAATTCCTGCAAACATCACGCAAGACAAGCTCTTCTTTGATAGAGATTATCAAGGTAAGGCTAGCAAGGAACAATATGCATGACTTCTGTGGTAAAAAGTCGTTCAGTAGCTTTTTCTCCCAGAGACGTTACAGGCCAGAATATTTTCACTTCACTACCCGAGAAAAGGGAAACAATTTGCTATTAATTTAGTTAAAAAATAAAGAGAATTTTGCTCCTGCCCATCGTGGAATAATAGGGAATAGATTTACCCTCTTGCTTACAAAACCATAAATACATGTTTTCAGACAACAGGAGGCAGTGTAGTACTGGGATCCTTACAAATAGTCCAGCGAACAATCTGGAGGTACTTCCAGACGCACTGCCAGAAAGAGAGGGGGGCGGGGTCTCACTGCTTCAGCCTCTGATTGCGAGCCACATTTATTTACGTAAGTCAAATTACCAATCCACCGGATTAAATTCTTAAAAATAAAGCTAACAGAGAACACCCGGACCGTAGGAGGCCTGCTAAACCATCCCAGAAGCCGCGAGTTCTCGCGTTCACATTGAGATTTACAACCCTGACGTCATCCTCACTGAGTCGCTCGCGAGATTAGAGAGTGGGTGGCACGAGCGGCAAGTTTTCGTCGAGCGCAGCTTCTGAGAGGAAAACAGACATTGATTGCCCTTGGTTTTGTCGGGTGCTGCCGACATGAGCGACCCAGACGGGGTCGAGAGGACCCCTCTCCTTGAAACCCACGGCCTCACCACACCCGACTGTGCTGCCGTAGCCCCGGACCCTCCCCCGTGCCTGGAAACAGAGGCGTCACAGGTGATGGCGGAGACGGGTGAGGGGTGTTTCGAGGCCGTCGCGCTCCCACCACCCCAGCTTCCAGAGGAGGAAGGCGCACCTCCAGCTGGTCCCCCAGATCCAGGCTGTGCCGGTACGTTCCAGATCCGAGACGGTGGGGATGGCGGTTACGTTGCGCCCGAAGCGAGGCTAGAGCCGGCTCCGCCTCCTAGGGAGGGCTTGGAAACGGCGTCTGTGTTCCTGGCAACGGACGACAGCCTGGGAAATGGCCGTCAGACTGTAGAGCCGCAGGGCTCGAGTCGGGAGAAGGCGCTAGAAACTTATGGCGCAGAGAAGTTGGGGTCTGACTTGATGTCGGAGGCGAAGGCTGAGGAAGCGAAGACTGAGGAGGGCCCCGTCTTCTCAGTCGCAGTGGATGAGGAGGTGGTGGGGAAGGAAAGAGCGAAGGAGGAGGAGGGAGTGGAGCATGGAATGGAGGTGGAGGAGAGGCCAGTCGGTGAAGAAATAGAAATGGTGGAGAACAGAGTGGTGGAGGAGGCGGGGCAGCGGCCCCTGCGTATGGATCTCCGCATGAACCCGCTGGAGGCCATCCAGCTAGAACTGGACACTGTGAACGCCCAGGCTGACCGGGCCTTTCAACAACTAGAGCATAAATTCGGGCGGATGCGTCGACACTACCTGGAGCGGAGGAACTACATCATTCAGAATATCCCGGGCTTCTGGGTCACTGCCTTTCGGAACCACCCCCAGTTGTCTCCTATGATTAGAGGCCAGGATGCAGAGATGTTAAGATACATAACCAATTTGGAGGTGAAGGAGCTCAGACACCCGCGAACAGGATGCAAGTTCAAGTTCTTCTTTCGGAGAAACCCGTATTTTCGAAACAAGCTGATTGTCAAAGAATATGAGGTCAGAGCCTCTGGCCGAGTAGTGTCTCTTTCCACTCCAATCATATGGCGTCGGGGCCATGAACCCCAGTCCTTCATTCGCAGGAACCAAGAGGTCGTGTGCAATTTCTTCACCTGGTTTTCAGACCACAGCCTTCCAGAGTCTGACAGGATTGCTGAAATTATCAAAGAGGACCTGTGGCCAAATCCACTGCAATACTACCTGCTGCGTGAAGGAGTCCGTAGAGCCAGACGTCGCCCATTAAGGGAGCCCGTGGAGATCCCCAGGCCCTTTGGGTTCCAGTCTGGTTAAACTTTGCCATTGGAAGGTTCCTGCACAAAGTCTCTTCGCCGCCTAATGGACCTGTGCTTGGACAACAGATACGGATATGTCTTCTAACCGCCCCCCCCCCTCCCCCCGCCCCCATCCTTTTTTTCTCTTAACATTTCTGGAGCCTTTTTTTTCCTCTGCAAGATTGAGACAGTCATGGCCATGCTCCTTCACTTCCACATGGCCTTCGTGCTTTTCTGCATTAATATCACATGCTGCATGGCCCATGATTCATACCACTCCTAAGTAAGCTTGTTGATGTAAATTTCATAGTCTTTATCTGCACTACTTGGACCCTGTTTGTTCCCAGAGCCTCCGGTCTGACTCATACCTGGAGGTACTTATCTAGGAGGCCATTCTCCCCATCCTACTCTGCAGCACAGGCATATAGCCTGTGGATAACTGGGCATTAATGATATCAAGGGAGAACTGCAGCGGGCCACTTGGCCTGTATGATTTATGTGACTCCATTGCTCTTCTTGCACCTCTGGTCACCTACTATTGCTGCCTGCTACTGGCTGTGCCATTGACTGCTACCTACTGGATGGACATCTAGAACTTTGTCAGCCCCACTCTGGTTTCTGGTAAACAATCTCCAGGTTTCCTGCTAGCACTCAGAAGACCCTTCCATTCTTCCCAAAAGACTTCTCCTCTATTCCTCATCGCGCCCCCCCCCCCCCCATCATCCAGAACCCTGTTAACTGTCAAGCAAGTGGTTGAGGTGACAAGTTAGACTTCTTATGGCAGGTTGGCCTAAGGATGGTGTCCAATCAAAGTACCAGGCTTTCTCAGTCTCTAGTGAATCACCCAAAAGCTGGGTACCTCTTTGTGCCTCTTTTTTTCATCCTGAGCGTAATTAAGTGCCAGGGTGGCAGTATACTTTCTTGGTTGTCTCTCTCTTAAGTGGTAGCTCATAAGTGTGTGCAAATCAGGTCTTTTAGTTTTAATTTGGCTCTCTCCATTATTTCAAGGAACAGGCTGTCTTGTCTAATAGATTGCCAGAGCTCTTATTTTTTCTGCTCTCTTCTGCATCCTCCACCCCCATTAGTAACATCTAGAGGATTTAAAGGGAGACAGATTTAGATGAGATGAAAAGTGCTATTTAGGCCATAATTGATGGAAGAGTTAAAGATATTGTTATGGGTGCCTAAAGCAGGAGGAACTGAGCAGAAGACCACAGATAGGCAAAAATGAGCCGGGTTAAAATTGGGCCTAAAATTAAGACTGAGAGTCTTCAAGGAGGTTCTTTGTTAGTGGTGATGGGAGGAGAGGTTCCTTTCCCAGGATTAACGTGAGAATTGAAGGGGGTTAGAATGTTAAATACATTACTTAGAAAAGAGTTCTGTAAAAAAGGCAACTGAGTGCTTTCTCTTTTTTTCATTTGACTTAATTTATAAGGAGGGTTAGTACTGTGTGCTTTATTTCACTAGTATTTCATGTTATTTTCCCTTGTTTCTGGTTACTGGGAAAATTGAGCTATACAGGCTTTATTTTGCTTTTAATTGAGAACATTTGGAAAAATAACGTGCTATTTCCCTGTATGATATAGACACTTAAATGAATATCTATAGTGAATTTCAGCTTGTTTCTGTTAATAATTAAACTGTATCCTTAGAAATATAATTTGTGTAACTTGTTCTTGTCATATTCTTAATATTTTGGAAATTGTTGTCTTCATGAAAAAGTAGCCTACTAAAAATATGTGGCTTAATTGTCTTAACTTGATAATTCGCCTCCTTAACAGCTTAGTAATTTATGTGTCTTTTCCTAAATAGCATAAATACTTGTGAAGTTGCTCTGCCAAATTGAAAGTGTACCATTGCTATATTTGTCTTTCTTTATATGCATGATGGTAAAATAAAAGCATGTTACTTGCTGGATTTCTTTTATTTCACCCTGCACATAAATGTGAATGAAGAAATTGTTCTAGGCAATGGCAGGTTATGAAATTACTAAAGTTCTTAAATGGATACAGTAGGCGTTCTTCAAAAAGGAAGAAGGGCTTCTCTGGTGACACAGACAGTAAAGAGTCTTCTGCTATGAAAAAGACCCTGGTTCAATCCTTGGGTCAGGAAGATCCCTGGAGAAGGGAGTGGCAATACACTCCAGTATTTTTTCCCCAGAGAATTCCATGTGCAGAGGAGCCTGGCAGGCAACAGTCCATAGGGTTGCAAAGAGTGGGACAGGACTGAGTGACTTAACACCTTCACTTTCAGAAATAAGAAAATGAGGATCACTACTGTATCTTCCAATGCAGGGAGGGTTGTTTTATTTAAAATGTTAACAATTTTAACTTCTTACTGATGATTTCATTTTTTTTCCATACAGCTTGTGTAGCATCATCCCCCTTTCACTTATCCCCAAGTCATACAAGTTCTTTTTATTCACTTTTGCATTTAATAAGCAAACATGCAGAGAGTTCTTATCATGAGTTATATACTTCAATATCCTTATACTTTCTCAACTCTAGAAACTTGTTTGTTCTTTTCTTCAACCTCATTACCTTCTGTCTGTGTCAAATCCTTTAAGGCCTGTCATAGATAACTCTTATGCCTTAACAGTTTTTCTATTCTAAATATTTCTTTATAAACTTGGTGTACTTTGTAGGGATATATGTTCTAGAAAATAACATGTAATAATTCATTATAGTGAATTCTACACAGTGATACAGTAAAATAAAATACAGAGATATACTTTTACAAGTTTTTCACACCTTCCCTTTCTAATTTGAAAGCTTTGTGAAAATAGAGGTAGGGTGTCTTGTACTTATAATGTTTTGCCCATAGTTGTCACCAGATAAATACTAATATTTATTGAATGACAAAATGATAACTCAAATGGAAAAAAATAACAACTTAGTACCCAGAAAAGACTTTTAATGAGGTAATGGAAAGAAGAAAACAGTTTTTAAGGCATTTGTAAAACTGATGTCAACAAATTTGCAGAGCCTTTCTTAAATAAATTTCATGTTTAAATAGAAAAGGTCTAAACACTAACTTTTAACTTGCCATTTTAACAGGGCATTACTTAACTTTGGGTCAACTTTGGTGTGCTTTGGTTTTCTACATTTTAAGGTGACTGTCACACTAGGGATAGAAGAGGTTAGACTCTAGATGTGTGTTGTCTTAAAATAGTCACATCATCAATGGCTGTTGAGCACTTGGAAATGTGGTTAGTCCAAACTGGAATCTGCTGTGAGTATAAAATATATACTTGATTTCAAAGACAGTGTGGAAAAAAAGAATGTAAAATATCTCAATTTTTATATTGGTCGCATTGCAATACTTTTGATAGGTTAAAATAAAATATATTAATAATTTCCCCTACTTAAGACAGAGTGAGACATGACTTAGCAACTGAACAAGAACATTTTAAAAAATGGCTGACAGTGAATTTTATATAAAACAGCATGGTTCTAGACTTATTGATGAATATGTCAAAGCATATATAAAATATTTATAGTGTCATTTTCTCCCCATGAAATTTTTTGTGACTTTCAGTTCAGTCGCTCAGTCGTCTCCAACTCTGCAACCCCATGGACTGCAGCACACCAGTCTTCCTTGTCCATCGCCAACTCCCAGAGCTTGCTCAGACTGATGTCCATCGAATCAGTGATGCCATCTAAGCATTTCCTCCTCCGTCGTCCCCTTCTCCTGCCTTCAGCCTTTCCCAGCATCAGTGTCTTTTCCAGTGAGTCAGTTCTTTGCATCAGGTAGCCAAAGTATTGGAGTTTCAGCATCAGCATCAGTCCTTCCAGTGAATATTCAGGAGTGATTTCCTTTAGGATTGACTAGTTTGATCTCCTTGCAGTCCAATGGACTCTAAAGAGTCTTCTCCAACACCACAGTTCAACAGCATCAATTCTTCAGTGCACATTTTTCTTTGACACAATACTTTGTGACTTTAGAGCAAAGTTTATCTAGCTAAAATTCAAGATGCGTAAGGTATAACGGGCTTCCCTGAAGGCTCAGCAGTAAAGAATCCGCCTGCAAGGTGCAGGAGACATGGGTTCAATCCCTGGGTCAGGAAAGTCCCCTGTAGAAGGAAATGGCAAGCCACTCCAGTATTCTTGCCTGGGAAATCCCATGGACAGAGAAGCCAGGCAGGCTTAAGTTCATGAGATTGCAAAAGAATTGGACCTGACATAGTAAACAACAACAAAATTATAGCTAGAAGCTGATGGGTAAGTGATAAAATGAACTCTTTATTTAATCAGTTTGTTCTTGGATACCTAAGATACACTCAGCATTTTGTAAAATGTACTGTGTAAAACTGATTTGGGGTATAAGGGAAGATGTCAAGTGCCGACAGTTATATTGGTTATTTAAAGTAGTGTATAACAACATGTAGGACCTACAGCTTCCTATTTTTCTAGAATGAAATGTTCTGTATTTTTTGGTGTACAGATGTACATGAAGCTCAGAAAATAATTTCAGTCATTAATCACCATACTGTGTGTCTCCAAATTTTAACAGTTGGCCATAACAGAAAAAGTAAATCCCCATCTAGTATGGACCAAATCAATTCAATGCTCACCACTTGGAGAAGCATATTTTATTTTTTAAATATTTATGATATATTTTTATGTTCTCTGTACCTTACTGTAAAGTGTATTTTGTTTTAGAAAATTAATGTTGTCTAAATTGTACTGAAGATTAGTTTGCAGCAATTAGTACTTACTTTGTTTTGGACATTAAGGATTCTATGGGATAGTAAAGTAAAGGTTGTCCTTGCCCTTGGGGAACTGTCTCATTGAGGGGGTACCATTCTTTGGATGTTTCCTCTTCAGCAAATTCATATATTCAAACTAGTTACATGCATAAGGAGACTCGGGCATAATGTGACCTAAAGGAGGTATCAGAGATGATCAGGACCATACTCCCCTCAGGGCCATTTTCCTCTCCCTCAGTGTTAACATATGATTGAGGTCCTAGACTGTACAGAAGTGACAGGTACAATATGTTCTTTCATCAGTATGGCAGGTGTTTTACTTGTGAACAGTTCTGTCTCCATGTTTGCTTGAAGTGAATTGTTTGAGCCCTGAAGAGTCTGAGCCATTGCCTCTGCCTTCAGAGAGTCTCAGAAACGTAAGGAGAATTTCTCTGGGGCTATATGAGAAATGCTGGATGTCTACTTGGCTCCCCTTTTTAAGGATTTGCATTTAACATAGTTTCCTTGAGAAAAGGCCAGGAAGAAACGGTTCTATTAACAGCAGAGTCACTTAGGTAAGTTCCTAATTTTTACAAACAAATGTTTTATTATTGACTTGATGAAACTGGAAAGACATGCTGGTTTTAAGTTGGAATTAACTGTTTTACAATCTACCACCTAGTACATTTGCCAAAATAGCTACCTTCCCTGAGCCTCAGTTTACTTGTCCATATGCAGGGATGATAATATCTTTATTAAAAGCTAATATTGTCCCAGCATGTATTTGGAGAATGGATTATATGGTTTCAGAGAGCATAATAACAAATATTTGGGAGCTTGCTGGGTTCCAAGCATTGTCCTAAAGATTCCAAGTATTAGTTAATAAAGGTTACATTGTGAAAATGCCAATGCCTGGCATATGATATGAATAGAAAAATATTAATTTCCATTTACCTGCCTCATTTAAATTTCTCATTTAATTCATATCCTGACAAGTAGTCATCTAGCTTAATATTTTTCAAACTCAACTGCTCATTATCAATAGCTGGGGAGCTTTGAAAAAAAATCCTGATGTTTAGGCCCTACCTCAAACCAATTAAATTAGATTTTAAGGTGCAGATAGGATTTAGAATCATGGATAACCTTTCCTTGGACTCCTCAAATGAGGGAATACTCAACTTTTCTCCCAGTTTTGCTGAATTTACTCAGAATCCACTGCCTTACAACATCTAGCTGTTGCAAAGGGCCTGGCATATAGTTGCCTCTCAGCACATTTGCTCCATATTTTGACCCTAGCAGTCTTGCAGAATGGAATTAGCCTGATTCCATAAAAGAGTTCTAAGTGCTTGAAGATCATCCTTACATGCTTCTCAACTCCCCACTAACCAACCTGGCTATCTGTCAGTTCCTTCCATTTTCTTTGTTATGTATGCTAATTATTTATTTTGCCAGTGCTCTTCCTAAAGTGTGATGCCTGGAACTGAATGAAATAACATCCAAAAGTAAAACAGGATGAGATTTTTTCCCCCTGCCTTTATTATGAATAGTATGTTTCTTTAAATGGATCCTTGGAGAGCATTAGCTTTTGAGGCAGCAATATTACCCTTTTACTAAATCCTTAAGTTTTGAAGTATTCGTGTGCTGCTGAGTTTGGCTCACCATCTTACCTCATTTTATTGAATTTTGTGCCCAACACTTTACATGTGTCTATACTAAATTTCTTTCTGTTACTCTCCTAACCTGTTTACCTTTGGAGGATTATTGCTAACGAGCAATTCTCCCTAATTTCATGTTTGCAAATCTAGTCTGTAGTGATGTCAGGTTCTCCCTCCCAGGACCTTGCATTCAGAGTCACAGCATCTTTAAGACCTCATCTTTCCATCAACTATAAATCCATCTATTATCTAGTGTGTGTATAGTTTAACTTTGTTCTAGGGCATCAGCAAGCATACTCGGCACCTCTTAAGGACTTAGGGAAAGATGTCCCCTCCAGACAAGGATTAGGAAAGAGTGCCAGTTCTTCCCAGATACAGTCCGTTATAGCAGATGTGTTTATCTTTCAAATTTCCTTGTCAAAAAAGAAAATGACTTCTTAGTGATCTTCATTTACCTGTTGATCACTCTGCTTTTTTTTGAAGGCAGTATTAGTATTTTAATATTACTACTTCAACATCTGTGGGTTTGAAATTTTTCAAAATAAAGTTGGAAAAATATTTTAAAATGTCATACA